GAGGGCGGGCGCCCGGTGGGCGGCGGCGGGGAAACCTTGGCCCCATACCAGGGACACTCTCCGGGCTCCGGCCTGTCGCTCTGGGCCCCAGGGTCCCCCTGTAACAGCCCCACGCCGGGAACGCACGCTGCGGTCTGCTGGGTCTCACCCGATCCTCACACAGAGCTTTTGGAGGGAGGCCGGGAAGGGGTCTTTATCCCACTGTGCAGAGCTCAGGCTCAGGGTGCGGAGATAGCCTCGGGACCGCCAGGGAGGTCGTGGCAGGGGAACTCAGGTCTTACTCCTCCAGCACCCATGCCACCAGGCCCCTCGGCATCGCCTGTCAAAGGGCGGGCCTGAACTAAGGGATTATTTAGGCGAGTGACCAGAAGATCTTTTCTTAGAAGATCTGCCTCTTTCTGTGCCGTCTAGATGAAAAGTGACTAAGAAGCCAACCATGGATCCACCTGCCCGTAAAGAGAAACCCAAAGTTAAAGAACCTGTGAGCAGAGTTGAGAAAGCTAAGCAGAAATCAGCCCAGCAGGAGCTGAAGCAAAGACAAAGAGCAGAGGTGAGTTTAGGAGGGGGCTCAGTACTCCTGTAGACTGTGGGAGACGGTGCCAGAGTAGAGAAATCTGTGAAGAACTTCGAGGGGAGCCCTGCTTCCCCCCAGGCAAGCCAGGTAGGTGTTCTCCCAGATTTAGAGAGAGAGCCTTGAGGTCCCGATAGGTCCTTCTGGGAATTAATATGTAATTATTACAGCTGGGAATCCTGTCCCAGGTTAGTGTCAAAACCCTGACCAGTACCAGGTCTCCATGACTCCTGGTGCAGGATAAGGACTAGAGGGAAGGAAGAGAGGAGAAAAAGAAGTGATACTTAAGAGGAGGGGTCAGAATGCGTGAGAAAGCAAGTGTCAAGGGACCCCCCCCAGGACAGATATTCTAGATTTGGTGCAGAAAGTTTAGCTACTCATGACCAGGTAAAAGCGCAATCATTTTTGGTGACCAGCAGTTAGCGTAATGGCTGTGTCGCTGGACTCCCATGTAGTCGACTGCGGTTGGTGTCCCGGACCCAGTGGCTTAAACTCACCCTGTGCCCGCCCAAGATCTCGAGAGGAGAATGGAGGTGAAGGGATTGCCACTTGGCCATCCCCCCTAGGGGGTGATTTCTCGCTTTCTGTCTCTCTGTCTGTCTCTGTCTGGCAAGCGCACGCACCCTATAGCAAAAACCTCTCCCCCCCCCCAAAAAAAAAGGAAAAAAAAAGTGCAATCATTTTTTTTTTCTAAACAAGAGATTTTTGCTACAGGGCATGTGGGCTAGCCAGAGAGACAAAAAGCGAGAAGTCACCCCTCAGGAGGGGATGGCCACCCACAATCCCTTTTCCTCCATTCTCCTCTCAGGATCTTGGGCATACGCACACACGTGCCCCACATGTTTTAAGCCTCCAGGTCCAGGACTCAAACCACAGTCAACTACATGGGAGTCCAGTGACGTAACCATTACACCATCTGCTGGTCCCAAAAGCCCAAGCTTTAAACCTACCAGTGTATTGCTCTGTTCTCTTAATATTTAAAGTCAGTTTGAGGGTAAAAGGCTTTAAACTATTTACCCTGCCAATGTTGAACCACATCCATACATGAATATTTTAGTATTTAACACCTCGAAAAAGCTTTTGGTCCCCTTTTCCTATTTATAAAGTTTTTTTTTTTTTTTTTTAGGTTTTTGCTACAGGGCATGCGTACTCACCAGAGAGAGCGAGAGAGACAGAGAGAGGGAAAGTGAGAAATCACCTCCCGGGGGGGATGGCCATTTTGCAATCTCTTCTTCTCCATTCTTATCTTAGGATTTTTAGGTCTGCACACACACGCACCCAGTGTTTTTCAAGCCGCTTGAACCACAGTCAGCCACGTGGAGAGGTTTTTGCTATAGGGTGCATGCGTTTGCCAGAGAGACAGAAAGTGAGAAATCACCCCCTAAGGGGGATGGCCACGCTGCAATCCCTTCTCCGTTCTCCTCTCAGGATCTTGGGCACACACGCACATGTGCCTGGCGTGAGTTTAAGCCACCGGGTCTGGAACTCAAACTGTGGTCGACTACATGGGAGTCTAGAGACATAGGCATTACGCCAACTGCTGGTCCCATTTTTTGAGAAATTTTAAAATGCAGAAAATTAGATTGTTATAACAAACATCTGGGTTCTCAGTGGCCCAGCTTGGTAGTGGTTAACATTTTGTCATATTTTCTAGGAGTCTTTTTAAGGAAAGATAAATTGGGAACTGGGGGAACCAGCAGGTGGTGTGGTGGTTAAGGCTCTGGACACTCCCACATGGCTGACCACGGTTCAAGTCCTGGACCTGATGGCTTGCTTTCTCACTTTCTCTCTCTCTCTCTCTGTCTCTCTTTGTTAAAATGAAAATAATGAATAAATAAAATTAATTCTTTTTTAAAAAAATCGGGGGCTGGACGATGGCACAGCAGTAAGATGTGAAGCTCCACAAAGCAGAACCACATGAGAAGGGTCTGGGTTTGCACCCAGAGACCTCCCCGAGTACACCTGGCACACTCATGCCTGTTATCTGGGCTGGCTAAAGCTGGGGTGGACGTACTTCTCTGTCAGTCTCTCTTCTCTCACAAATTGAATTGAAAGATGAACTTTAAAGAAAAGAAAAAAGATAAAATTACATATTAATTTGAAGGTCCCTTTCTCCATTTCCTGTCTTATACCCTTTTTCCCTTCCCCATAGGCAACACTATTTTTTTTATACTTTTATACTCAAATATATTAATAGATACCCTTGAGCAATATATTGGGTTGTCGGGAAAGTCATGATGCATTTTTGCATAGGAAAATCTGTCATAACTGTCCGGCAACTTAATACTATGCTCTTTTTGGTAAGTTCACTCGTTTTATTTGTGATAGAAAGCACATGCATGTACGTGCAGGAGACAGAGAACGCCTCCAGAGGGCACTGTCATGTTGCAGTTCCTTTCCTCTAGCCCTCCAGCTGGGCAGAATCTTGGGTATGTGCACGCCCAGCAGGTATTCAGGCTGGCTGGGGATCTGAACCTGTGGTCAGCCACGTGGCTTCCTGCACGCTGAAGTTCATTATGTTACTGACTGTGCCACAGAGGCGGGGCCTATACAGTATTCTTTTGTTTTAAATTTTTACACTGATAAATTTCCATACTTTTTTTTTTCCCCCTTCTGTAGGATGCATGTGCTCACTAGAGATAGAGAATGTGAAAAAGCACCCTCTGGAGGGATGGTAATGCCACAATCCCTCCTCCTCCATTTTTTCTTCCTTTTGGGATTTTGGGCACACATGCATATGTGCCTGACGTGTTTTTCAATCTCCTGGGTCCGGGATTTGAATAGCACAGTTGGCCATGTGGGACTCAGCCACCTTAACCACCATGTACTGGCTGGCCCTTAAATTTCTATACATTTTATTTTGCATTTTACCTATGCTATGGTTTTTAGAGTTATTCATATAAGAATCTAGTTTATTCTCCTCACTCTTTACAGTGGTCTATTTTTTTCCTGCCAGAGGGCACGTGCACTCACCAGAGAGAAAGAGATGCATGAGAGGAAGAAAGGGAGAAAGCACCCCTAGTGAGGATGCGGTCATCCCTTTTCTCCTTTCCATCAGGATTTGGGGTATGCATGTAGTGCACCCAGCATTTCTCAAACCATCAGAGCCTGGATTTGAACCACTGTCAGCCATGTGGGATCTCGTGGTCATGCCACAATCCCATCTCCTTCATATTTCCACCCTGTTGGGATTTGGGACAGGCACCCACATGCGCCTGCCATGTTTTTCAAGCCACTGGGGTTGGAATTTGAACCACAGGTGGCCATGTGGGATCCAGTTTCCTTAATACTAGGTCCACAAACTTCAATATCTACCTCGTAGGGCTATTATAAAGAACAGATATATTACAGGAGAGCACTTAGCACACGGCCTGGCACAGAGGAAGCATCTGATAAATAGCAACTATGATCAGAAATCTTCGTGCTTCCAAGCAGCTGGCTTGCTTTTATTGTGTGGTCTCTGGGTTGACACTGAGTCTTCTTGCTGACTTACTGAGATGTATGCCGGGTCTGCATGATAGCAGCTGCTGGCTCGTGAGCTCTTAAAATGTGCCAGGCCTGAGCCAAGCCTGCACATGCACAACTGCCTGTAGTCCTCACACCAGGGCTTCAAGGCAAGTGTTCATAGTACTCCCTTTTTAAAGAGATTTTTGCCTTGGGGCACGTGCACTTGCTGGAGAGAGACAGAGACTGTGCAAGAGAAAGTGAGAAATCATCCCCCAGTGGGGATGGTCACACTGTAATCCCTTCTCCATTCTCCTTCTGGGACTTTGGGCATGCACACAAGCCCCAGGGGTGAGTTTCAAGCCACTGGGTCTGGGACTTAAACAGCAGTTTGCCATATGGGAGTCTAGCGACATAACTGCTACAGCATCCACTGGCCCCTGTGTTACTCTTATTTTAATCTCTGTAAACCTTCCTGGCTTATAAGGCCATATAAAATATATGGCTGGTGAGGTAGGAGGTACTGACCTCACTTTAGACAGAAGTGGCTGGAGTCCTGAACTGCACAAGCTGCAGGACTGGGTAGACAGAGCTCTGGCCTCTGCTGCTGCTGTCTGCTTTGTCCTACAGCTGCCTTGCTGTTTCCCTATGTGTATTGCCTGGAATGTGATATCCTGAAATAGGGTTGTGAAAGATCCCTTGTGGGGAACAAGAGAGTTTCCATTCAGTTCTGCAAAGATGCATTCCAGAAGGTCGATGTGGGGAGAGTTGTGAGGGATGAATGGGACTGGAAGGCACATTCCACAGTTGAAGCAGCATTTGACACTCTAGTGGCCCTTTCCTCTTCACTGAGTGTCTTATTTCTTGGGATGGACCCATAGTTTTTTTTTTTTTTTATTTTTTATTATCATTATAATCTTCTTTATATTACATTGGATTACACATAACTTTACATTGTATTCAACTGTTTTTTCAAAAGGGAATGCCATGCATGTCAGTCAGTACAGAGACATTAATCTCCCCACTTCAACATTCCATATCTTTTCTGTTTTCCCCAATCATTATTTTTATTATTCTAATTATTTTTATAAAACAGTCAATTGCTATTTCTCGTTTTGCTTGTAAAAATACTTTGCCCATCATGAAATACTTCTCAGACCAATCCAGTTGAGAATACTATACATGTCATCATCAACAGTTAATAACCCCTATCTGTTTCTCACTAACGTCCTGTCTCTCTATTGTTCACTTGCTATCTTTCTCTATCCTCTTCTCTTCACTTACCCCATTCCACACTATCCTATTCTCATTAAGTACCTTCACTGTGCCCATAGTTTTTTAAAGAATTATTTCATTTAACTTCATTTATTTTAATTCGATCAGAGAGGGATAGAGTGAGCAAGATAAAGTGAGAAAGCAAACCGCCTAGCCAGGACTCGAACTGCAGTCAGTCATGTGGGAGTCCAGCACCCTTAACCATCACACCACTTGCTGGCCCCAAGGGATGGACCCATTTTGAGTCTCTTCTTTCTCTATTTATTTCCTTTCTTCTGCTAGCCTGCCTCCTTGGTCTGGAGGTTTCCAAGAAGCTACCACAGTAATGTGAAGGTTGCAAATGCTCATGAGTGAATGACCCTTTTTTTTTAATTGACTGTAGGGCAGGTGCACTCACCAGAGGGATTTAGGGAGAGGAAGAAGTCACTCCCATCCCCAGGGGAGCAGACATTGACCATGCAGCAGTCCCTCTTCCTCCAGTCTCCTCTTAGGATTTTGGGCACACACATACACACACCTAGTGTGATTTTCAAGCTGCTGGATCACTTGAATCATGCAGTTGGCCATGTGGGATCCAGCTACCCAACCACCACATCACCTGCTGGCCCCAAATGAAACATTTTTAAAACACACACACACACTAAAAGTATGTGAGGGCCAGCCCCATGGCATAGGGATTAAGAGAGCCAGATCCCACATGACTGACCACAGTTTGAGGCCTGTCCTGGAGGTTTTTTTTTTGTGTGTGTGTGCACACATGCCCAAAATCCTGACAGGAGGGAAGAATGGAGGAAGAGAGATTACTGTGGGGCATGCTTTCTCTTTCTCCTCCCTCCCCTACGCAAGTGCACATGCGCTCTGGGAAGAAAGTTGATTTTTAAGATGTATTAAAATATATGTACTTAGGGACCAGCAGATAGCCTCATGGTTACGTCGCTGGACTCCCATGTAGTCACCCTGATTTGAGTCCTGCGCCCAGCAGCTTAAACTCACACTGGACACACATGTGTGTGCCCAGAATCCAAGAGAAGAGATTGTGGTGTGGCCATCATTCTAGGGGGGTGATTTCTCACTTTCCATCTCTCTTTCTCTCCAGTGAGCACACCCGTACCTTGAGCAAAAATTTCTCTTAAAAAAAAAAAAAATAGGGGCTGGCAGGGGGGGGGGGGGTTAGAGGGCGGGGCCCCCCCCCGTGGGGTGGTTAGAGTGCTGGACTCCCACATGGCTGAACAAGGTTTGAGTCCTGGACCTGGCAGTTTGCTTTCTCATTCTCCCTTTCTCACTCTCTGGTCAAATTGAAGAATAACAGTAAATGACATTAAATAAAATGGCATTGCTGTCTTAAAAATATGTATGTATATGTCTATATACATACATATATATATATATACACACACACACACATACATATACACTTAACAGTATATATAATGTGTATGTGTGCAGCTTAAAGAGGAAGAATAAAACAAATACCCTTGCAGCTACCACCCAACTAGAGAAACAGAATGTGACAATTGTGACAGTTATTTGGAAGCTCTGTATGCCCCATTCTGGTCATGTGTCCTATTTCATCACTGAGTAGAATTTCATTTTCCTTAAAGATCTTAGAATTATTTACGGTTTCTACTCAGCTTTGATCATTTCACTTTTTCTAGGAATTTAAGTTTTTAATGTATTGGCTACACCCTCTTTATTTTCGTCATTCCCTAGTGTTCTACATTAATTTACTACCTCTATATGTACCCCTAAATGATATTTTGTAGCATAGCAAGATACTGTGTGATTTCCATGTCTCTAAACTTTTATGATACTGTATTTTGATATTTTGCAGCTGACTCTTCACTCAACTTTTTTTTTATATATATATTTTTATTTTTCACTGTAGGGTGCATACACTCACCAGAGAGAGACAGAAACAGAGAGAAGGAAAGTGAGAAATATTCCCAGAAGGGATGACCACACCACAGTCCCTTCACCTCCATTCTCCTCCTGAGATTCTGGACATACATTCATACGTGCCCAGTGTGATCTCCGGGCTACCAGTCCAGGACTGAACTGCAGTCGGCCATGTGGGAGCCAGTACCTTACCACCATGCCATCTGCTGGCTTGCTTTTCTTAGTTTTCTTTTCTTTTTCTTTTTTGGAGAGGTTTTTACTACAGAATACGTGTGCTCGCCAGAAAGACAGAGAGAGAAAGACAGAAAGCAAGAAATCACCCCCCAGGGGGGATGGCCACCCTGTAATGCCATCTTCTCCATTCTCCTCTCGGGATCTTGGGCACGCACAGACTCACACCTTGCATGAGTTTAAGCCACCAGGTCTGGGACTCAAACTGTGGTTGACTACATGGGAGTCCAGCGACATAGTCGTTATGCCAACTGCTGGTCCCTTTTCTTAGTATTTTTAAAGACCCATCTCTCAGTTTTGGTGACCCTCTCTATTGTACATTTTGTTGCTATTTTATTAATCTTTGCTCTTATTTTGTATTTTCTACTTGTCCCACTTTTCAGCTGCATTTCCCTCATTTTCTTTCACATAATCAAGTTATATCCCCCCTTTTTACCACACACTCCTTTTCTTTTACAAACTTGATCTGTTTCTTTTTTTGTTTTTCTATTTTTGATAACTACTGTGAGGATACAGCAAGATGGGGGATAGGTGTAGATACCCAGCCTTCCACCGTGGGAGGTCTTTTCCCACCACCACTGCCTGCCCTGGGCCACACTTGCTGCCTCCTTCCGACTGTTGTAACAGGTGCTGCCCTCCCCCAGCCTCCAGTGTCTCCCACAGCACGGGTGGGATCAGCTTGCTCCTGTGCACGTTTATCTGTGGCTTTCCACACTCTGCCAGATGGGGTCCAGCTGAGTCCAGATTCCTCGGCATGGCATTTAAGGCCCCAACACGTTTTTCCTTCATCCAGCTTCCGAACCCCCCACTCTAACATCCTTCATGACTGCGTACCGAGGTTCCCAGAACTGAACCCGTACTTCCCCAGAATATTTACCCGTAATACCCCTTCCTCATCACCTGTCATGTCCCATTCCCCAACCTCTGCGGGTCCAATCCTGTTGATCCCAAGATCAAGCAGAAGATCGCTGTCTCTGTCCTGAGTCCCCGGATGGAATTAACCGGTCCCAAATCACTGTCCCTGCATTACCGTAATTGTGCGGCTCTGGCCTTTTCAGACAACACAGCCTGTCGTGTCTGGAGGTACACTGAGCAGCTGCGTGTTGCTGACATGTCTGTTCCCCCTCAGATCTATGCCCTCAACAGAGTCATGACGGAGCTGGAGCAGCAGCAGTTCGATGAGTTCTGCAAACAGATGCAGCCCCCTGGAGAGTGAGCCACTCAGACATGGAGCCCAGCTGCCCGCGCCTGAGCTGCTTACCAACCCCAAGAGATGGCCCACTGGGAGCCTCCAGCACCTAGACAAGACGTTTGTGGATGAATTCGAGCTTACTTCCTCTGTGTAACTTCCACTTCACTGGTCCCTCTGCAGTGGCCCAGTGCTTGCTGAAGAGACTTGTTTTCTTCTTTTAAAACGGGTTTTTTTTTCTTTAAAACTTTTTCTATTGTTTGAGAAAACTCGTTGTTTCTTGTGAAACTGTATATCTTCTCCCAAAATGCAAATAAAATACTAAGAAAATGGTCATTTGCTCATATTTTAGTTTGGGAGTAGCCAGCCATAGAGAGTGTAGTTTAAAATTTTGAATGTTATAGGTAAGGAAGGTGGAGGTGAGCAGAAGGCACCCCTTCTTCAGGAACGGGGTGCAGAGGAAGGAACATGACTAATTCCAATTGCCCCTCATGGGGGCTAATGCACTACAGACCCTTCTGATGATGTTTCTGGACACACAGACATAAATAAATACGAAAATTATCCCTGGGACCAGCAGATGGCATAATTCCATCACTGGACTCCCATGTAGTCAGCTGTGGTTCAAGTCCTGGACCCAATGGCTTAAAACTCGCTGAGCACATGTACATGCATGTCCAAAATCCTGAGAGGAGAATGGAAGAGAAGGGATTGTGGTGTGGCCATTCCCCCAGGGGGTGATTTCTCGCTTTCTGTCTCTCTGTCTCTCCAGTGAGCACATGTGCTATATAGCAAAAATCTCTCTTAAAAAAAAATACATATATATATATATATACACACACACACACACACACACACACACACACATATATATATATATAATTACTTCCAGATGATCCCCTAGTTGGGTTAAAACGTGACCCTAGGATTTGCCTCACCCATGACTGCAGAGCAAGGGGACTGCAAGCACCTCCTGGTTTTATTTTAGGGGGCAACTCTTACCAGACCGAGAAACAGGTTTGTGATGGGAATATTCAGACTGGTCCTTCAGAAGCCAGCCACCCACTCATCTAACTGCACTTTCAGCTGTAGAGATGTAGGTATTTCTGCTTCTGCAGATCCTTGTATCAGAGATGATGTTTCATACTTGAATGTTAGCTGCAGAGCTATTTTAATGCAGAGTGAAAGGAGAGTGTTCTTTTAGGATATTTCATTTCCAAATAATCCTTGAAAGTAGGGGGAGAAAGGATTTCCAAGAGCTGAATAAATATGGCAATGAAGCAGATCACTCTGACAGGACAACAGGCCAAACTCTGCCACCTCCTTAACTCCAAGCTGGAAATGCCTGTGTTTTCCTCCCAGTGCTGGGAACGGCTCAAGCTGGCCCATCGCCTTTGTCTCCCTCCTGCCTCAAGTCATCCAGAATACCAGCCCCACTGCTGTAGCTTATTTTAGAAGCAAACTGGGGAGTTAACAGGGTGTTAAGAAACCACCACGGGGGAGAATGTGTTTTTGAGAGCCCAAAATATAATTAAGGACATTCTCTACACATCCCCATAAATGGTAATTAGATTCTGTAGAGTATTTCTAGATTCACATGGAAAGGAGTTTTTTGTTTTGTTTTTAAAGTTTACTTCTTTCATGAGAGAGAGAGACAGATACGGTAACGGTCTTGCCATGCCACAGTGCTCTCCCCAGCCTCCCAGTTAGCCGGGATTATAGGCACACAAACACCATTGACCCTGGACCTAACCTGGCCCTCCTATGTGGCTCCAGCATCATGCAGTGGTGACCCACCATCTGCACCACCACATCTGGACTTGCTTCTGTGAAGGATAAGAACACCTCTTACCTGAATACCACGAATATTGGGGGCCAGCAGGTGGCACTGGACTCCCACATGGTCAACAGTGGTTCGGGTCTCAAACCTGGTGGCATGCTTTCTCACTTTCCCTCTCTGTCTCTTTCCGGTGAGCATATGCGCCCTACAGCAAATTTTAAAATAATAAAATTAATTATTAAAGAAAAAGAATGCTATGTTTTGAATATGTTCCCCAAAAAGCATGTGTTAGGAATTTAATCCCCAATCCAACAGGGAGGTGTTGGGAGGTGGGGCCTAATGGGAGGTGGTGAGGGCAGGAGGGCCCTGCCCTCATGAATGGATTAATACCAGTTATGATAGAGCTGAGACTGTGAGTTCCATCTCTTGCTCTCTTACCCTCTCTTGCCCTTTCACCTTCCACCATGGGATGATACAGCAAGAAGGCCCTCACCAGATCCCAGCCTCTCAGTCTTGGACTTCACAGACTCCAGAACTGTGAGAAGTCAATTTCTCTTCATTACAAATTACCCCGTCTGTGGTTATCACAGCACAAAACAGACAAGAGAACTGGAGGGAGCTGTCCCTATGAACAAAGAAATGCTGCAGTGTACTAGAAAGGGCACAGTTTTGGAGCCAACTGACCTGGGGTCAAGTACCAGGTAGACTCTCAGAGCCTCGCTTTTCCCGTCTACATAATGGAATAATTTTTCTTAGGGTCTTTGTGGAGAAATTATGTATGTAGAGTTGGCTGCTGCGAGTGGTTCAGGAAGAGAAGCCAGATCTCACATGGCAACTGCACTTCCAGTCTCTGGTCTGGTCAGCCTGAAACTCACTTGGGCACGCACTTGAGTCCCCAAAACCCAATGGGTTAGAGGAATGGAGGAAAGGGATCGTGACGTGATCCAACTGTGGAGGATGCTCATCTCGCTCTCACTCTGATTCTCACATGTGTATGCTTATGCTCTATCATGAAAAACAGTTTGTAATAGATGTTCATTAAATGTTACTTCCCTTCGGGACCAAGAGTTGGCGTAATGGTGATGCCGCTGGACTCCCATGTAGTTGACTGAGGTTCAAGTCCTGGACCTGGTGGCTTAAACTCACATCGGGCATGTGTGTACCCAAGATCCTGAGAGGAGAATGGAGGAGAAAATACTGTGGCATGGCCATCCCCCCTGGGGGGTTATTTCTCACTTTCTGTCTCGCAGTTTCTGTCTTTCTGGTGAGTACACGTGCCCAATAGCAAGAAACCTCTTCAAAAAAAAAAAAATGTTACTTCCCTTCCAACCACCTTTCAGATGGTTTCATTGGAAAATGTTTCAAGTTTCAAATAACCAATATGTGGGGTCTTCAAAAAGTTAATAGAAAATGGAATTAAAAGTACAAGTTTAGGAATCAGCAGGTGATAAAGTGGTTAAGGTGCTGGACTCCCACATATGCCAACCATGGTTCAAGTCCAGCACATGGTGGCTTACTTTCTCTCTGTCTTTGTCTGGTGAGCCCTATAACACATTTAAAAATAACAAATAAAAGTAAGTATTAAAAAATTATTTATAAAAAAAAGTCCAAGTTTATTTTGGAGCTAAAACTTTTAAAAGTCTATGCAGGGACCACAGGTGGTGTGGTGGTTAAGGTGCTGGACACTCCCACATGGCTGACCCCAATTCAAGTCCTGGACCTGGTGGCTTGCTTTCTCACTTTCTCTCTCCTCTCTCTCTCTGTCTCTGTCTCTCTCTGGTCAAATTAAAATATATGAATGAATAAATAATATTAAATTAAATAATTCTTTTTAAAAAATCTATGCATAGTTTTTCCATAATAATGCATTTTCCATAAACTTTTTGAATACTCTTTGTACACAAGCCTTGTTTGGAAAGATCCTGAGCCTTGGTCAGGGCCCGCTTATATTACCATGTCTCCACCTTGGATATACTCTTCTCCTGGGAAGTTCTCCGGAGATCAGAGTTTTTTCAACTGCAGGTGGTTGTGAATCAGTAATAAATTATAACCAGCTTTTCATTCATGCATTCATTTATTTCTATAGGACACCTGTGCTCACTGGAGACAGGGAGGGAAAATGAAAAAGCAACCCCCTAGTGGAGATGCCCATGCCACAATTCCTTCGCCTCCATCCTCCTCTTGGGACTTTGGGCATATACTCCCAGCATGTTTCTCAAGCCACCATGTCTGGGACTCGAACCACACAGTCAGCCATGTGAGATCCAGCTGCCTCAACCACCATTCCATTCTGCTGGTCCTTCAGCTTTTCTTATTTAAATAATACAGTAGGAAATATCACTTGTAATAAGGATACTGTTTCATGAAGCTTTTGTTTCAGGTTTATATAGCGAAAGAAAACAAAATCTCTCTCTCTCCAATACTGCTATTGTTGAGCCGAGGTAAGTTATAAGTCAGGGAGCTGTCTCTCCCTCCCTCACCTGTGTCCTCCTGAGTTCAGGACAGAGATCTTCCCCTCTCGAGACTGTGTACTTCACAGCGCTGAATGGTAGCAGTGAGTCCAGAGAATGTGGGAATAACTTTTACTGGTTTCTCATAGTTTTCTTGCCACCGGAGCCTAAGGACTGTGTGGTCTTTTTTCCTTTCACTTCTGAATTTGCTGTGCTTTGATTGGATATGTTATATAATCTGGAACCCCAAACCACTGTTTTCAAAGATACTTTAGAGATTTCTCCACCATTTCTTGGAACCTTCAGCCCTCCAGATCCCAGCACCATGACCTCGGTTTCAGCACAGGTGGTCTTAGTGCTCCTCTCACTGCGTTTGGTGCTGCCTGTGTGGGAGCCGTGGAAGCTGGAGCTGCCCTCGCGCTCTTGTTAGGGGAGGTCCTCAGCATCACAGGCTCTTGTGCTTGCTTAGGTGCATGTGCACGAGAGAGAAGTGGGCAGGTACGACCTGGAAGGGCTTTCTGAGTCAAGCTTCACCCTGAAAACCTTTGTGCAGTTGAGGCAAAACCTGAGCATTGATGTCTGAAAGTTTCCCCAAATGGTATAGGGTTAGTTTCACATTCTTAGCTATTTCCCATAAAAAAGGAACAAATTGGTGTCTTAGTGGGGAAAAAAATGTGTTCTTTTTACAACAAATAATGCACTTAAAAATGCAGCCTAGGGACCAGCAGTTAGCATAATGGCTATGTCGCTGGACTCCCATGTAGTCGACCACAGTTCGTGTCCTGGACCCGGTGGCTTAAAACTCACACCGGGCGCATGTGCGTGTGTGCCCAAGATCCTAAGAGGAGAACGGAGGAGAAGGGATT